TTTTTCTTAAATTTTCCACTTTATTGTTTCACACGCTATCTAATTCAATTTAAATTGTACTTCGAAAATTTGCTTACCAATTGTTGAAATTCGAACTTGAGACTCTTATTCTTGAGTTGTTCATCTTACTTATTGCATCACTGTCAGACTGAGAGACGCTTCATATTGTATACATATGATATATCTATGTATGAAAACATATTACTTATTTAATCCTTTCGCTACCACGGATCTGTCATCCTAAGCGCCTTTGCACGTAGAAAAATTTTAACCGTAATCGTAAGGTCGTAAGAAAACTGACCAATCACAGTCGATTATTCCTCGAACGCAACGAGAATAATCAACTGCTTGGTATACTTCAAAATTGTTAGTTATCTGTACCCAAAATTAAACGCGTTTTTCTTGAAACTACTTTTTTAAAATTGGCTTGCAAGATAACTCAGAAACTACTCATTCGATTGAGTTCTCTCTGTGCACACATTTAGATAAATACTTTTCTCATAAATTAAACCTTTATTTACAATTGTATTGTTTAAATAAATTATTTTTATCTCATAATTAACACAAAAATTTCAAAAATCAATGTTTTCGTTCTATGTGTCACCATTTTTACAATTTTTCATTATTCTCTTTAACAATAGGTTCAATTAATAACGTAAACTCTACAGAAAAGAAGTCGATTCGGTTTTTTGTGTTTCAGATGAATACAAGGCGCTACGTTGCACGCCGACATGCGACTTCAACGCCGACGCATTTGATTAACATTATTATTATTTATAAAATACATATTATTTTTCTGTCAAAAAAGTTTTTAGTAGTTCAATATTACAATAACATACTCTGAAAATTTCAAAAGAATTGATCATATAATTTCTTCAAAAAAAATTCCGAAACGTCACCTAATTTTCAGCGAGTTACATGAGGTGTCCTCTTTAAAAGCAATCTTCCGGCAATCTCACCTTGCAGAAAATTTAGCAGGATAATCGCGCGTTAATTCGAAGGGACAAGATAGTTGTTCTTTCGTGTAATTCAGTTCTCAGCGGATGCGAATATTTACGAATGAATTTTCCATGGACATAGTATACACAGACTCCGAATGCCATATGTTCTGTCGTTTAATAGAGTGAAGCCAACATCTAGAAAGAGAGCTAGAATAGAGGGGTTATAATTTTCTTCCCATTTTGTCACTTTTATGTTGCGCATGCATCCATTTCTCGTTTCCATAATATTATAAAGTGCAACAGCACCTCGAAACTAGCAAGTAAAAGTCTTACTTAAATTTTATTGCACTTTGTCTGTGCAGAAAGAGACAGAGAACACAGATGGGCTGTACATATTGGCTTTAGTTTTCTGGCCGTATACGAGGCCCATGTATACTACTTCCATAGAATTTTCACTCCGATTTATTGCTCGGGCCGACGTAGGCGCGTGTGAATTAAATTAATATCACCGACGATTTCACGATATAAATTAATGCAGTGACTTGAGATCTCTCTCTCTTTCTTTCTTTCTCTCATTCTCTCTCTCTCTCTCTCTCTCTCTCTCTCTCTCTCTCTCTCTCTCTCTCCCCTGCTCACTCAGTCTCTCTCTCTTTCGCTGAGCGTGCTTGATGAATCGCCGCGTTGGATGCACCGCGACATGTTTGTTGTGACGGACGAAAGCTCTTTTGAGGGTATCTATAAATTCCACGTTTCGAGCTTTCTCGCGGGTTTCTCCTCACGCCCCTTTCGTCTCAGCACGTGATTTACCATTTCGTTCGACGCTGCACCACGCCCACAGAATATTTAGTCGTAAGGGTGGCTTGATGGCAAACCAGCTATCTCTTTGTTCACCGATAAAATCGGTTAATAGTCATCACGAATCTAATTATTATCTGCCTGAAATTTTTAAGAAATTAATTTTTAGACCTTTCATTGTCGACATCTAGGGGTCTATTAATAGTGTAATTAATAGCGTTAATTAATAGACTAAAATCTAATTAATAGACTAAAGCGAGGTTGAATCGTATTGAGAACGCTTAAGGCAACTGGAGGATTGTCTGAAAATCTGTGCTTGTTTTTTCACATTTTTTATGACAGACTGTATGAATATGCGAAAGCGTTATTTTGATTCTCGGTGGTTCAATTAAGCTAAATTTCAATTAAGAAAATTTCGGTAAGCTTGTCGTTATCGTATAATCATTATAATAGAAGTTGAGTAAAAATTAACAAAATTTCAAATATCTTAAAGGGATATTATTAAATTTTCAGTTCTTTTATAGTAAAAAAATTAATATTTCAAAATTAAATATTTTCAGGAGTTTGTCAGTGATTCACACGATAACGATAAACTTACGGAAATTTTCTACCTAAAATTCAGCTTAATTGAATCACCGAGAGTTAAGATATTACTGCAAAATGACGACCTTGAAAAGAAAAACGAAATATATTTATATTTTAAATATTTAAATATATTTTAATTGTGTGTACCATACACTTATATTGAGTATTTGATCATCAAAATTATATTTTTCTTCTCTTTATATGTTGTATAAATACACATCAAAATAACACTTTCGCATATTCATTTAGTTTATCATAAAAAAATTGTAAAAGAACAAGTACGATTTTCAGGCAATCGAACTCTTCAGTCCCCTTAATAACATCATAAGCTTCATTTAGTCTATTATAGAGTTTCAAACATTATCACTTCCCGAGTGGTCTACACACGTTTTAGCCAAAAACACGGTAAGTTTTATCATGAGCTACTACTAATGTCACTTGTAAACGCCCAACCAATGTCGTTTTAAAATGCTTATCAGAGGTCGTTAAATAACTTTTGTTTTCTTTAGCGATAAATCTTATATTATCTGGCCCTTTCGGCTCGGTCTTTATTAACCTGCCGCCTTACAACGTAAGTTTTATGTTGAAAATTTCCACAGCGAAATGTTAAATATTGTAATGTTTGCTTTTCGATCATTTTCTTTCTCTACAATATGACAATCTGCAAGTGATACTTGATTACTTAGAATTATACAAGATAACAAATTTCATCTTGCTTTGGTTTTCTTCATTTTTAATAAATAATCCCATGTGAAGAAGACACTACCCGCCATAGTAAAACTGGATCTATCTCTGGTAGATAATATAGATCTAAACTGATAGTTACCTCCTTTGAAGCTCACTTAACGATAGGTTTATCTGTCTGCAGTTTTATTAGATCAATTATGATATGCTTCGTATAATATTCATAGAAATTAAAAATTTTCAAGTTCCAACGATTAGACAGGCAAACAGTTAAAAGGAAAAAATTCTAAAGAGAAATATAACGAAATCTCGACCTAAAGTGAATTAAAGGAAAACGAGAGAAATTATATCCAAATACTAAAAATGAAAACACTTCTTAATTTTTTCAATATTTTTTTTAATTTAAAGTCGTTTAAACTTTTTTCCTTATTAAAAAATATATAAATTATGCGCTGATTTCAAATTTCTCTAATTTTTTTTTTCAAAATAGCTGCCTTAGAAAACGGTAAAAAAATAAAAGAAGTTAAGGTTTTTCTTAAAGTCCATTAAAATATATAGGAACCCGACTAGAAATTGTTATCAGGTATACCTGAAATATATAAGGTCTTAATTAAGCGTTCGCAAGGTTATCCTTACTATGATAAACCTAGTCATGTATGTACTGATAAAAATCACGTAAAGAAGGTTATAATGATTAGGTATATATTAGGATCTTAATATATTATCTTAATATATTTCATAATATTTTATTGATCAGGTTCTTTTTAGGATCTTATTTATTTTATCTATTATGACTTGCATTATCAGTTTTTAATATCTTTTATAACAACCTTATATATAGTAGGTTCAATTAATAAATTTTTATAAATTTTTTCATAAAAATACAATATTTATTGTTGTTTTAATTTCAAGTATTATAAAAAAGTGTTGAAATATAAATTCACATATATTTTATACAAAATTTTTAAATACTCGACAAAAAATATGAGTATAATAATAAACAAAAAATATGAATAATAAAAACAAATATAATAAAATAATAATATAATAATAAAAATATAAAAATATGATATTTTACAATATTGCATCAATATTTGAGGAAGATTGAAAATTATATTATTGATAATATAATAATACATATGTATTATTCATATTATATTACAATATACATCATATATATTTTTCTTATTGTTTATATATAAAATTAAAATACGTTTAAGCAATTTTGCGTAAACCCTGAAAAAAAGTTCTTTTATTTCATAATATTCTCTATTATATAGAATCTGACCCAAATATATAACAAAAAATGTATAAAAACATTAAGCTGAAAGGAATGGTCGAAATCATTTTGCAAATAACCACATAAACTTTAGAGATATTAAATAAAATAGGTAGATTGCTTTTAGAGTTGTAAAACTACATATTACAAATATATATAGTCTCTCTCTCTATATATAAATATAAGTATAAATATAAATAAATAAATATATATATAATAAATTATTTTATAAAATGGAATATGTGAAATAATATTTTTTTCAATCAGATAACGTGTTTATATAACCCAACGAAACGAAATAACGTTTTATATAAGTCTATAATACTTCAATATCATAAGTCTAAGTTAAATAAATCTATGTTAAACAATATACTGAATGCAAAGAAATTTTTTCTCTGTGTAAACGCAACATGTGCGCACTACCTTTTATAAAATAGGATATTTTTTATATATATTAGCAGATAATGAAAATCATCAAACATCAGCGCATGTTTTAATATTATAAATGTTTTTTTTCTATTTATTATTCTACGAAATTCGGTTATAAACACTGTGCAACAATATGATGTTATATTCTTCAATCATTTGCATCATCTTTCTTTGCAGCAACATCACCTGATATTTAAATTAATCTAAGCATACGTTTGTACATAAGTATATACGTTTATGATATTAGTGTTCGTTACTGCATAGGAGGTAAAGAAATGTTAATAAAATGTTAAATAAAAGTAGTTATTTTCTCATTCATATAAATTTGTAGTGTATTATAATCTATTACATATAATTATCATGAAAGTAAGGTATATAAGTGCATTTCTTGAATGTCGCACAGTCACTTGTTCGATATTTTTATTGATTTTAATGAACACAGCTTTTCTCGCAGTCTTCCTTGGTAGGAAAATTGTTTCTATTTCCTCTACACCCACCATACACGAATTGCTCGCAGTTGTTTGTAGATGACATATAGGCGTATCTCATTGCATGTGCTCTGCAAGGACCTTGAACTATAGGCAACTGACAAGCTGTAATAAAAATACGAAGCAGCATCAAATTGCGCACCATAAGATTCCTACGTAAATGTTTTCGATGTGATCTCTTGAATTGAATTTGACGAGGTTTTAAGGAGATGTCATATTTGAAAATTTGCCTAATAAAATACTAACTTTCTTATAATATAACTCTCTAATATAACTTTCTTCTACGAAAATTACGTATACAGAATTACAAATGTTTATATACAATGAAAGTACGTGCAAAAATGAATTAAAATTTATTGCACAATAATGAACATAACATATTTTAATTTAAAATTTCAAACTGCTATTTAATGCAAATATTTGCCTAATATAAAAATTCTACAACTTGTACATAACGAACTTGTTTATTCCGTTCAGGAAAATTTAAAAAAATATTGCTGTATCTTTATAAAACTGAATTCGGAAACTTGAAAATATACAAAAAGAGTTTTATGCGTGGTTATGTTTTACCGCTGAACATTATAAAACATAATAACACATATTTTTATATAAGATCTATATATACAGTGAACTGTGCAAAGTAGTTTAGACACAATTGAGATTGAGAGCTTACTAAATTATCAAAGTTTAAAATCATTACATTAAAGGCGTACACATAATAATTATATTAACGATTATATTATTATTAATATAAATATATAAGTCTATTGTAATAACTCTCAATTTGAATAGTTTGGTGAACTCTTAATTACATTGTGTTTAAATCGTTTTGCAAAAGTTTTACAAGAAAGATAACGTGGTCGTGTTAACTGACATGATTTTTTATAATTGCTTCTACAATTGTCTTATCGATATTTTTGAAGTTTGTTAATCATTTTGGATATTATACCTTAAACTTACGGCTTTTGGTGACAATTGAATATACTTTCTAACAAAATTCAGATTTGGTCGCATATTAAGTAAAAAAAAAAAAATATATATATATATATTCGAACTATTCAAATTCGAATCGAATCAAATGAAATTTGATTCGATTCAAATTCGAATCTCTATGATTCGAATCCGAATAATTCGAAAATTTCGAATCAAAAAGATTCGAATACGGATTACGCATATTAACGAAGAACAATTAAAGACATCCAGTTTTACAGGAATTAGCATGACTTGAAAAGTTTGCTATACATTAAGATTTTCTTCAAAAATATTAAAAGAAGATGATGACCTCTGGATAAACTTTTATTAACAACTGTCAGATCGATGTGTGTCGTTGCGCAGCTTTCAAGACTAGAACTGTATTTCATACACGTTTACCGACTATATATTATATATCTTTTACCTTAAAATGAATTAATATCACATGATCAATGTTATCTCTCTCATATTGAAGTCACTATTTTTATGTTGAATTCAATGATTATGATCAAAAATTCTTTCAACGATTCGATTCGATTCGATTCGGGTAAAATTTTATCGACTCCATTCGACATAAAAATCTTTGATTCGTACATCTCTAATATATATATATATATATATATATATATATATATATATATATATATATATAACAGTCACTACGGTAAAAAATCGTTACGCAATGTGTAAAAAGAAGAATACTTACCTTCAGGTTCTTGAGCTACAATCTCAAGCGTCAATATGCTGACAATAATTAACATAAGTAACAAACTCGTTTTAAGACACATTTCCGTAGGATTGATATTTGAAGTATTAAAACTTTTTTCTACTCAATATTTTCGAGTATTTAGTTGATGTGAGAATTACTATATACTGACTCAATCGTTATAATTTCCGTCTCTTTTTATACAAACTCTATACGCATGAAAGAGGGGATTATCGTTGTGAATTATATGCACGTCTAATCTTATTTATGCACGCAAGCATAAATGTTTACAAGTTATTCGAAATAGATAACAGCTGCATATCTAAGCAAATTTAGTACACTTTTTACCGCGTCGTTTATCATTTACCACGTTACAGTCGCTTGCATAACGGTTTTTATACTTCTTATTGAATAAAATTGTAATGCTTCAAGTTATTAAAATTAAAAACCACTGCTGACATGTACGCGCAAATTAATTAAAATGTATAAACGAATGAGCGTACGAGAAGCGGTAGGACAGACTCTGTGTGCAAAAGAAATGGCTTACTTCTTAGCAACGATGAGTAAATAGCTGATTTCGAGACAAAGTAACAAGCGACACGTATACGTTATTCTGCCTCGAAATCTGTTTAATATAAAATATAATATATAAATATATACACACATTTAGGGTATTCCCGAACATCTTTGGAAACTCTCGTGGAGGCATAATATGGATTGAAATTAATTTAAAAGTCCTATATTGTTTTATGCTATTCGCAACAATTATCTAGATATTAATTAGAGAAGGTAGTTTATAGTTATACTAGATATTAGTTATTATTTAAATAACATTAATATATTATCGTGAGCGATTATCCGCCAATTTTCTTTAATCCTATCAGAAAAAGTGCGTGTTAACTAAATCTCGAATGTATCGAAGTGGGTGAAGCCTCTTTTCCGCGGCGCTAATTGGCCGTCTCGACCGTCTCGATTGTCTCGATCCCGTCGCAGAATTCGTGTCGCTTGCAGTTGTCAGCCGCGGTGACAGATCAGGTTGTGTTGTTCGCGTCATATAAATTTGATATTTATTGTAATCCCAACAAACACAATGTTACATGTAACATACATGTTAGTTGTAATTTCTTACTCAACAAACAATTTAACTATTATATAATATACATGTTATATAACAGTTACATTGTTGAATAGGAAATTACAACTAACATGTATGTTATATGTAACATTGTGTTTGCTGGAAATATAATTTGTAAAAACGAATATTGTAATATAAATTGTAAATAGTACAACGAAAAGGCTAAAGTGGCGCGCGCGAAGCGCGCGCTATGTGGTGTTCTAGTCCTATCAGAAAAAGTGCGTGTTACCAAAAATCTCGAATGTATCGAAACTTGAAGCCTCTTTTCCGCGATGCTGATTGGCCGTCCCGACTGTCTCGATTGAGTCGATCGAAATATGCGGCTAGGTTCGATCCGCTTATAGTTTTCAGATGCGTGTGACGGATTAGGTTGAGTATTTTACACAATTTTTCATGGCTGTCAGCATTGGTTCTTGCTGTATTATTTATTATATTCACGACTGTCATCGGTCCTTGTAAGAATTACATCGATCGCGACTATCAGCGGCGGACTCGCGAGTGACAAAGTTTGGTCGAAGGTTACATCACGAGGTGAGTAAATGTCCAGAAAGTTATATTTTCACGGTCAGTAACGACTTGATAGATTATATCTTTTGTTTATATTGATACATTTATGTGTTTTGCAAACATTTTGCCTGAACCCATAGTACAGAGAGAGGAATCGCATCGTTCACGGCTATCAGCATTGTTCTTGCAATGTTATTTATTATATTCACGACTGTCATCAGTCCTTGTAAAAATTGCATCGATTGCGGCTATCAGCGGCGGACTTGCGAGTGACAAAGTTTGGTTGAAGGTTACATTACAAGGTGAGTAAATGTCCAGAAATAACATTTCGAAAGCACGTCATGTTCGATTTCTACGGTATTTCTGTCGTTAGTACATGATGTAGCACGTTGTGTGATATATTTTCTATATTTCTTTCAGTAACAAAACAAGGACGGAGCACGATCACATTGCTAAAATTAAGGAAGTTAAGGAAGAGAGAAAGAGAGAGAGAGAGAGAGAAGACAAAAAAGGAAGGAGAAAGGAGAGACAAAACGTAAGCAAATTAATAAATTACAGTAGATTATCTTTTGATTAAATCGATTATAAATGAATGGAAATTTTCTATAAAAGATCTTTTCCCAATTTTGATATTTTTTATAGCAGTCTTGATGATTACCTGTGCTGTTACTTTAGTTCATTGGTAATTAACAAAATATTTTTATCAAAATAAACATTTGAATTCTTGTTTAAATTGAAATCCAGGTTTTGAACTTGTGCGATTGAGTTTTTAAATCGTATTTTAAAGATAATAACTTATCTTTGAAATATGATTTAAAAACCCAATCACACAAGTTCAAGACTATAAGCTTCATGTACAACTAAAATAAATTGTACGAAAACGTACATGAAACATCGTACATGAAACAAAATAAATTTTGAATTACCTGCACGGAAAAAAATTATTTCAAGACTGCAGTTAATCGGGAATTAGCTGAAAATATGTTGTTGTAGCAACTAAAACTTTGTTGATGTTGTTAATTGTTTAGCTGCCATAAGTCACCTTAATAGCCAAGAATACCCAAAGCATATCTTGACAAACATACAGCATAAATATCTTGCAGCACTTTTTGTCGATAGAATGCCATCAGAATTGACACAGGATCTGTTTTATCAAATCTTGCTGCTAAACTGTATCTCTCGAGATACGTATTATACGAGTTTTGAACTGCACATCCTTAGCAAAAATATACACATATTGTAAATTTACCATGTGAATTTTCATCAAAGAAGCTATAACTAAATAATTATAAGGTATCTATATTGCGAGCTTATATATCAGTAATTAATATGCTGTAGCAAAGGAACATGTATTCCGGTTTTTAAGCATACTTCCGTCCTGAGCTTCGGATACATCATGTGCATTTTCTGCTAAGAAGGTGCAGCTCAAAAATCTTAGAGTACGTATTTCGAGAGCTCCTAAATCATAGAAAAATATACGGTGTGAAAGAAAAATGTATTCCGATTTTTAAGCTGTTGAATAACTTGTAGCAAATTTGCAACAAAAACTGCGCAAGTCTTACAACACATCAAGATTTGCTCGATCTCTGGCGCCAATTTGTCATCAAAAGGCTGCAGGCTTTGTCGCATATCTGACGGCAATTTGGCAGCAAGATTCTTAACTGAATTTGCATAAATTTATTACCTATTTGGAATCAAAACTTAGCAATAAAGTTTGTTTATGAGATTTACTTGTTCAGGTTTGGCTATCTGGGTATATGTTTATCGTAGTTAAACGTTTAGGTATTCATATATTAGGACATTCATGCCTCACTACGATAGAATATAGGGATAGGTGTAAAACATATCGAGGTGAATAAAACAGTCCTGCACTGTTTCTCGATATCTGTTATAATTAATGAGTTATTCGATGGTAAAGATATCAGGTATTATATTAAACATATAGGCGACATATGCGGAGGCGTACATCAATTGTCGGTTGCTTAAAACCTGATATCTTTACCATCGAATAACTCATTAATTATAACAGATATCGAGAAACAGTATCAGTCTTTTTTATTCACTTTAATATGTTCTACGCCCCTATCGCATAGTGAGGCATGGATGTTCTGAGACATTCTGTATATTAGCTATGGCAGCTACACCGTTAGCAACTGCAACAAATGTTTAACTGTAGTAGTAATATATTTTCCGCTAATTCACGATTAGCTGCAATTGTGAAATCGTTTTTTTTTCCGTATATAAACGCCCTAAAAATAAAAATAAAACAATTAACATCATAACAAAATCATAACAAAATTATAATCATTTGTGAGAGATTTTATGAGTAATAATATTCAAATTGACCAAAACTAAATTATACATTTATTAGAAATAGGTGTGTTTAAATATACAGGTTCCGCTAAAAGTCCCGGGAATCCTGATTTTTTCAAAAAGGATTTTTGACAGCTTATAAAAAATTTACTTTTACAAAAGTTTTACAAAAGTTTTAGTATTTTGAATATTTTTTTAAACGTGATGGTAACCTTGAACTTGATCTTGGGATCGACTTTCAAGGCTATATATAAATGTTATATGTATTATAATATGAATGTTTTTCAACTTAAGAAAAACACAGTTATGTTTAATGATATAAATTTAAAATTATTAATAAATAATAAAAAAGATGTAATACCTGTTGATTATATTACACCCATAATTTCTATTTCATCTCCTTTATTTATATCGAGATCTTGGTATAAATCATTTGAGAAATCTATTATATTAGGTGAAGTAAAAAGTTCTGAGCGTTTTTTCGCTTTATTTCGACGATGAAATTAACATAGTTAGGATTATCCGATTTCGATCAAATATGCGCCGTTTTGTTTGATAACTTTGTCCATTTTGAAGACAATTTCATAATTCCGCGATTGAAGAAGTCCTCGTCCCTATTGGTAAAAAACTTGACCAGCTCATTTTCACAAGCCTCTCTTGGCCAGTTTTGTACCATCAAGAAAATTTTGCAAATGCTTGAAAAGGTGATAATCGCTTGGTGCCAAGTCTGGACTATACGGCGGGTGCAATAGAACCTCCCATCCAAGCTCTCGGAGCTTCTGGCGCGTCGTTAATGATGTGTGCGGCCTGGCGTTGTCTTGATGGAACACAACACTCTTCCTATTGGCCAATTCTGGCCGCTTCTGGTCGATCGCCTGCTTCAATCTGGTCAGTTGTTGACAGTAGAGGTCCGAATTGAGTGTTTGGCCCGATGGGAGCAGCTCATAGTGGATGATTCCTTTCCAATCCCACCAAACACACAGCAAAACCTTCTTGGCCGTTAATCCGGGCTTGGCGATCGTTTGGGCCGGCTCACCGCGATTGGACCACGATCTTTTTCGGCTGTTGTTCTCGTATGTGACCCATTTTTCATCACCAGTCACCATCCGCTTCAAAAATGGGTCGATTTCGTTACGTTTCAGCAAAGAATTGCAGGCATCAATTTGGTCCAAAAGGTTCTTTTGG